TCTACCACTTGAGCCACAGCGCCACTTCCGGCTTTTTTCTTTGTGCTTATGTGGTGCTGAGGAATCGAACCCAGGGCATGCAAGGCAAGCGCTCTACCACTGAGCCACCTTCCCAACCCGTTTATGAGACTCTTATCTCCAGTAAACTACTCAAAAAATGCCAGAAGTGGCATTGTGGCTCAAGTGTTAGAGCACTAGCCTTGAGCACAAAGAGGCTCAGCATCCAGTTGACAACAGTTCAAGGCTAGGACAGGCAAAAAAAACACACACCAAAAACTAAGTATTAAATATACAGTTAAAATGGGCAAGTTGTGTAGTACATGAAATATATTTCAAAAAGTTGCTAAAAATTTCTATAACCCGAGTATTTTAACACAGCTAATGAGATACTCACCTCTCTCTGCAATTCATCTTCCTCTTCCAAAAGATCATACACTTGTTCTAAAAGCTGAACTCCCAAGGCCTGGATTACATCAGCTCTCAAGATTTCAATTATTCTTCTGATCCTTTCAGAACTTGGCAAGATAGCTAAAAAGCAGTAACAAGGGCTGGGAATGTGGCTTAGTGGTAGAGTGCTTTCCCATATATATATATGTATATTTCATATATATATATATATATATATATATATATGGGAAATTAAATCCTTCACCACTATGGGCAAGAACACCACAATTATTTTGTTTTGTTTTTATTAAGACAAAAATAATATATATATATATATATATGGGAAATTAAATCCTTCACCACTATGGGCAAGAACACCACAATTATTTTGTTTTGTTTTTATTAAGACAAAAATAAGATATAAATATGTATATATTTATATATATATCCTGGCAACTGAAACCAGGGCTTCCTTAAACATGCTAGGCAAGCACTTTACCACTGAGTTATACTGACAGCCTACTATACACAAACATATACATATTATCACTATGAAGACAAAGTTGGCCTAAAATACACATGCTCCTCCTGTCTCAGTCTCTTGAGTGCTAAGATTCCAGGAGTATATCACAATGCCCAGCTGATATTGATTTACTTACAGTTGTCTTTAAATGTTAATTTTCATGTGACTTTTAGGAATACATCTGTTACATAAAGTAAGATATACCTTTTATGCAGATACCCAAATGAAGTTGTAAAAGCCAAAACTATAGTTCCTCTAATAAACACAGTTCCTAGACTGCTATGGAAGAATAACCTGATCACCTGAAGGCAGCTCTTTAAATTGGAGTTCCTCTGCTGCTTCTGCAACTTTCCCATGAAGTACCAGTGTATCACGATACTTCCGATGAAGTTTGAATTCTGGAACTGGATTTGGTACCAAGATATCTTCACAGCTGTCTTTAGAATCCAGTTTAAGGGTCTGAGTCATCAGTTGTACCAAGTCACTCATTTCATTTGTATGACTTTTCCTGCAAGGGGGAAAAATTCACCTTGTTATTGATTGGCTTCATGAAAATTTTCTTTTCTTCTTCCTCCTCTTCCCTTTCCCCTTCCCCCTTCTTCTGGCTTCAATTCAGGGTATTGCACTTGCTTGGCCTGTCTGTCAGCTTGCATGGCTGGCACTCTACTACCTGAACTATGTCTCCAGCCCTGTTGTTTGTTTGGCTATTATTTAATTTTGTTTTGTTTTGGAACTGGGACCTGGAATTCACAGCCTTGAGCTCTTGCTGTGCTCTACCACTTGAGCCATACTTCTAGTTCTGACACTTTTGGCTGGTTAACTGGGAATAAGAATCTCTTGGATTTGTCTGCCCAGGATTGGCTTCAAACCTCAAATCCCAGATCTCAGCCTCTTGGGTAGCTAGGATTGTAGGCATGAGCACTGGCACACAGCTTATGAGAATTTTTCATTACAATTTAGATGCATCTGGGCACCAGTAGTTCATGTCTATAATCCTAGCCATTCAAGAGGCTGAGATGTGAGGATCTGGGTCAAAGCCAGCCTAGGCAGGAAAGTCTTTGAGACTGCTATCTCCGATTAACTACTAAAAAGCTGGAAATGGAACTGTGCCTCAAGTGGTAGAACACTAACCTTGAGCACAAAAGCTCAGGGATAGCATCCAGGCCCTATGTTCAAGACCCATAACTAGTTCTCTCTCTGTCTCTGTCT